TTGAATCATGGAAATTAGCCATGAACTTAGAAATGGAATCTATGCATTCCAACAAGGTTTGAGATCTTATAGATGCACCTAATAGGGTAAAGCCTATAGGATGCAAGTGGGTCTATAAAAGGAAAAGAGGGATAAATGGGAAGGTTGAAACCTTTAAAGCAAGGCTAGTGGCCAAGTGTTTTACCCAAAGAAAAGGCATCGACTATGAAGAAACATTCTCACTGGTTGCCATGCTTAAAATAATTTGAGTCATTTTATCCATTGCCGCTCATTATGATTATGAGGTTTGACAAATGGATGTCAAGACAACATTTTTAAATGGACGTCTTGAGGAGACCATTTACATGATGCAATTTGAAAGGTTTGTGAAAGAAGGCCATGAAAGGAAAGTTTGCAAGTTGCAGAGGTCCATTTATTAACTCAAGTAAGCGTCTAGATCTTGGAATGTAAGATTTGATCAAACCATCAAGACTTATGGTTTTGAGCAAAATCTGGATGAACCTTGTGTGTACAAGCGAATACAAGGGAAGAAAGTAGTTTTTCTAATTCTTTATGTAGATGACATTCTATTCATTGGCAATGATGTAGGGACATTGTTATCTGTAAATAAATGGTTATCGCAGCAGTTTGATATGAAGGACTTGGGAGAAGGTAGTTATGTTTTGGGAATCCGTATCTTGTGAGATAGGAAAAACAGAATGATTGCATTATCCCAAGTTTCATATATTGACAAAATAGTGTCCAGATTTGCAATGCAGAATTTCAAAAAGGGACAACTTCCTTTTAGACATGGAATTCATCTATCTACAGAGCACTGTCCCAAGAATGCAACAGAGATAGATTACATGAGAAAGGTTTCTTATGCTTTGGCTATGGGAAGTCTCATGTATGCTATACTTCTAGACCAGATATTTGTAATGCTGTGGGTATTGTTAGTCGTTATCAATCTAATACAGGACCAGGACATTGGGTAGTGGTGAAGCATATACTCAAGTATCTTTGGAGAACGAGAGATTATATGCTTGTCTATTCAAGACATGATCTAAATCCTATTGGATATACTAATTTCGATTTTCAATCCGATCATGACTCGAGGAAGTCTACATCGGGATCAATATTTACACTGGGAGGTGGAGCTGTGGTATGGAGGGGTATCGAGTAATCTTGTATTGCTAATTCCACCATGGAGGTAGGATATGTAGCGGCTTGTGAAGCTGCTAAAGAAGTTGTATGGTTCAAGAAGTTTCTTTTGGACCTTGACGTGATACCTTTGGCAATGGGGCCCATAACGCTTTATTGCGATAATAATGGGGGGTTACCAATGCTAAAGAACCCAGGAGTCATCAGCGTGGCAAGCTCATCGAGAGAAAATATCACATTGTTAGAGAAATTGTTCATCGAGGAGACATGACGGTTGGTAAGATTGCATCAGCAGATAATCTTGCGGATCCGTTCACTAAGACCTTACCAGCTGAGGCTTTTGATGGACATCTTAAGGGGATGAGTATTCTTAATATGTCACACACACTCTAAGATGGGCAAGTGGGAGATTGTTAGCTTGATGTCCATTCTTCGAGTAGTGTTCTGTAAAATCACATTATGAATTGACGTTTGTTTATTTGTGTATTATAATTTGAAGTGATTGTCTAAGGTTCCATGATCATATAGGATGTCACAAATTGTATACTCGATGGATCGGGTAAGTAAGACACAATTTGTGATGTGATCAAAATTATGTCCTCCACAATCGGTTCATAAAGTTGATGTTGATAAGATTGTATTATTTTTATTAAGATTTGTCTAGATCTTAAAATAGGAGCAATAATGTATTTCGATGCACATTGAACAGGACCGCGCAGATGACTCATTTGTGACCGTTTGAAATGAGACTCTACTTGATTATCAAACAGATCACCTAAATCTTAAGTGAGTAATGTACCTTTGATTGCTAGTTCAAGTTCTTTGAGGTACCAATGAGTGAAGTCTTAAATAGAAGATTGATCTCGGTGCATTGGGAAACGGGCCGAAACAATTAGAGATCGTATACTTACAATAGTGGAATCCATTAATCATTGGGATGGGACGATCGTCACTCTAAGGTATTTTTCTAGGCAAATTGAATCTGAGCTCAGTAGGTCGACGATGAGATCGTGGAACTTAACATTATGATTTGATCCCAACGAATTTGCCGTATGAAATTGGGACTTAGAGGGTAATACAAGTTGAAGGCTAAAACGATCATTTTGCCAGTTTCAACATATTGGCGATCAAATGGGGGTTGACTTGTGGAACGATAATCAAAGGATATTGTTATTGGATCATAATTTGTTTTTATAATTATCACTCAACTCGAGAGTGCAATATCGATTTTTTGATAGAATAAGCCAGGATTAATAGATGTATCTTAATTGGTCAAGAGTTGACCCAATTAGAAACATTTGTTGGAGTTTGGGTCATGTAAGTCCGATTAGGTCCCTCTCTTGGCTCCAATAAAAAGTGTGTGATTTAATTGGTCTACTACAATAAAGTCCAAGAAAATTTGTGCAATTTTCAAACCCTGATAGGGCATTATAAATATGCACTCTATTGGCATATTTTATATGAGAATTAGGATTAGCCACTTTTCACTTTCTTGAAAATGAAATATACCTAGTGGAGAATAAGGGAGAAGATCTAAGAGATGAAGCAATTGGCTAGACCATTAAAAGCTCCTTCAAAAGGTTATCATCTCCCCTTTCTATGTGTGAAAATTTTATAATCCAATAATCTCAAGGTCACTAAAATCCTTATTTATATGTTTTTAATCTTCAAAAGAAAATTAATTTCCTATTGTGATGATTAAAATTTATTAACCAATAGTTTTCTCATAAAAGCTGATTTGTCCCTGCATGAAAGAATTTTGCATTTTTATTAGATGTACGCATGTAGAGCTTAGCTGCGATGAAAAGATAATTATATTTAATGTTATAATGGCATGTTTGGTATGCTCAATTGGACAAAACTAAACAGGACAACTTATGCTCCTTAGTCTTTGTCTAGTTACGTGCCAAACATCTCATAAATGGAGGTTTTCAAACGTACAGTTGGTATCATTTGCTGCTTCTGCTGGGTCGACTCTGCAATGAAAGGTGGAAACCTGAAAAAAAAAAAGACAAAGAAAAAAAAAAGGTATATGGAGAGATCACATCGTAAGAAAGCTAATTTCAACAACTAAATTGAAACAAAAATGAAATTTAGTAACTAACATAAATTTTAGCAAAAGTTCATTAACCACGGATGGTTTTAACCCATCTTCGTTATGATCTTCGAACTTCTCTACAGTTTTCTCTCCCTCGCCACTCTATATACTCTTTGACAAACACAATTATATACATGTTGTGCTTAAGAACATTGAGATTGTTAGTGTCAAAAAGTGACGGGGCACATCTTGACTCGACTCAAAGAAATTTTGGAAAGTGATGAGGTTGGAACCTCAACTTTGTACGTGCTCAAGGGGAGATATGCAAGCATAAAATATATTAATAGGAGAGAATTTGAGCATGAATACCAAATGACGAAAGATCCTCCTTTATATAGGGAGAAATCTCAACTATCGATCTCCTTGATCATTCCTCAACTTTTTAACATTTTTATGTTATTCAATTTATTTAATATATTTATTTATTTATTTATAAATAGATGAATAAATATAAGGCATACACCCAACCCTACAGACTACATAGTATACATCAAAACCGAATAAGGATTAAATTGAATTATTTTAATTGTAATCCAGCTTAGAGGGTGTTTGGGAGATATTTTCATGTAAAAATGCATTTTTGAATAGTAAATTAATGGGAAATATGTGATTGAAAAATAAGGAAAAGTTTATGATTTACATGTAATACTATTTTAATAAAGAATGTGTGGTAGAAAAGAAGAGAGAAAAATACATTTTGAAAAAAATAGGTACCAAATGAGACCTTAGTATGACGCATCAAACGTGTCCTATATATTTAGAAAGAAATACATTTTATTTGTTACACTATCCAATTATATTTAGCTCATTTGAGTAACAATACCGAACGTTCACTTACACAATTGTTGGATATTGGTTAAATAAATCGAGAATTGAAAATCGATTAAAGTTCGTATCGACTTCGGGCAAATACTCAAAAGATTAAAGTTCGCATCGATTTCGGCCAAATACTCAAAAGCTCGACTCAATCTGTTTAGGCAAAATTGTTTGCCACTTCGCCGTTTCGGGGCTCACAAACGGGGATGATCTGCCCGGTCAGGTCGCAGGGGGTCGAGGGGGCAACGCCCCCGAAAGAGAATTTTGATTTCTCTGCATTTATTGAAGGGTATATTTGACATTTCGAAAACCAATATCGGATGAATGAGAAATTACTAAAAAGGACGAAAATCAGTGAATAGATACATTTCCATAAAGGTGCATTATTTGGAAAGGGTGCATGGTTTGACCTCAACAATTAGTGAATAGACACCTTTTTATAAAGGTGCATTGTTTGGAAAGGGTGCATGGTTTGGCCTCAACCATTTCGTCCACACCCTTTCATGGTCTATAAATAGGACCCTTTGGGTGTCCTATTCCACACAATTTGATATGCAAAACGTCTCCCATCCTTCTTTCTATTCAAAATCAAAATCATTTCATTTATTTTGATTTTCTTTCATTTCATCCTTGGAGTACATAAACCTAAATTTGGTTCTTTGTACTTTTGTTTTGGAGTGCTACAAACACAAATGTAGCCGTTGTATCTTGGGAGTCGATTGCCGAAATCCGTAGGCACCGTTGCGGGGCAAATTCGACTTAAGGACAAAGAGTCCAACTCTTACCTCGGCTTTGTCACCATCATTATACTTATTTCAACGTCACTATTCACAAAATTCATCCAACAACAATTAAAGGAATACACCAATTATTTCCCATGCATTGAACAGAAATCCAACATGTAAAATATCATTCCCCAAATTGTGGTATATAAAATGGACAGAAATAGACGAAAAGAGTTGCACGTATTATTTCAAGAAAACGAAGGCAGTCCTTACAATATCTTTATACTCTTTCAAAAGCATTACAAGAGAAGTAATGGAGTTCTTACAAAGCTCTTTATCTTTCCCCAGTTCTACAATACAGACAAGTTCAAAATATAGTAAGCATTCAGATACAGATCAGTTATTTTAATATCTACAGTGCAGTTCAAGGATAAAGCTTAACCTAATTACTACCAGTGAAAACATTCCGATGAAGATCGTCCTGATTTCAGACTAACCACAAAGAGTCGTCCTCCCTTGATAACGGGTCCATGGAGTAGTCAACTTGTGTGAAGTTGAAAGGTGGACAAAACCTGAAATCAGAAATATTCTCGTTTGTGTTGCCATTGAAGGGGGAATCGTATGAAGGCTTGCACTGATCGAACTGGAATTCTGTTGATGGGAAAACAGAATTATTCGAGGGCATGCTAGTCTGTGTAATGAAGTAATCGTCTTGTTGAAGTTGTGTCGCTTGCTGCTGCGAGTTTTGAGTTTCTAGAATGTTGAGATTCCCAGTGTCGAAGCTACTGCTTTGCTGAAGATTGTTATCATAAAATGACAGAAGCTCGGAAATCATCCTTTGGCCATCTTCGGGAATTCCAAGGGCCGAAACATCCACACTTGCCGGAAGAGAAAATGCCTCATTTTGTGCAGAAGGGACGGAGAAAACCGCTGGCTTGTCATTGTTATTTTGATAGCTTGGTGTGTTAAGCCTCTCAAAAGAATTGGAACGGTATGGGCAATTCATTTGGTGATTGTTTCTACATTTCCGGTCATTAAATCCCATACGATAATCACTGTGGGGGCATTGAGGAAACTCACACGTATACATCTTCTGATCATTATGCACCTCATTAGTTGTCTGTTTCCTCTTTGGAATAAAATCCAAATCAACGTCAATAATCTCTCCCTTGATCGGAGCTAAGAGAGGCATCATGTGCCCATCCCTAGGTGCCGCTGTCCCCAAGTTGAAAAGCTTCATATCATGGGGCTTACATTCCACTTCAACATTCCCATCATCTTCCACTCCTTCAACATCATAGTCACTGGTATCACTGATTAAATACGACCCATTTCCACCAGCCAAGGATGGTGGTGGCACACTGTCCGGATATAGCTTTCTGGATAAAGCCTCCTCTTGGTTAATAATAGCAAGCCAAGTTGCACTTTCCTTAGCAGTCATCTTATCCTGTAGGCATTTCGAGTGCCGGACAAGTTTGCGGATCTTGGCAATATCAGGGGACATGTGCTTGATCACGGCTGTGAGAACGCAGACTTTCCAGGCCTTCTTCAAATCATGAGGCTTCTTGTACGGAGGAGGCCCTTGATCAGTTGGTAAATCTAATTGAGAACACCATGCCTCTTTTCCAGTAGGCCACCAAGGCGGGGGAACGCCCTTCTCCAACGGGAACCGCCTCTGAGGTGGATTGCAGTGTTGCATCAAAGCCGACAAAAGTGAGCCAAGTGTAGTGTCCTGGAGCTCTTGCAGTGTGTGAGTCGAGGTTTCTATACTTGCTTCCTCAACTTTCCCTGGTATTGAATTCTCTGCCTGGTATTTGGCAATTGCAGCTGGACCATTTCTATCAAACCTTACTTTTTCCTTCCACCATGCGCGAAGATTATCAGATGCTCCTGTTACAGGTTTGCCTTTCTCGGGGATGATTCCGTACACAAAACCCTGAGCTTTACAAACCTCCATCATCTTCAACATGTATTTTAAGATTCCATCTTGTGCCCGAGACATTTTCTTCCGTCGCGCTTGCTCCAGAGACTGACGCTGCTTCGCACTATCATTGACTGACTCCTTGTTCTTCTTCTGCTCCTTAAGCCGTCTTAAGAGCATTCGATCCCGCCACATTCTTCTTTCTAGTTCATTGACATCCATATCCTCATCACTACAATCTTCCTCAACCTGCATCGCCAGTTCAACTTCCGAAGCTACATCCCCTTCTCCCGGAAGAGTAGAGAGGAAATCAAGATTACCGCAGAAACCCATTTCTTCAAATATACTCATTTAGCCAAGGGTATATGTTGAATTTTTTTCTCCCTCTCCCTCTTATAACGTCAAGATCTATCTGTCCACAAATATTTAGTCAACTTTAGGATTTCTCAGTCCCTAACAAATCAAGACTAAGCCTTCAAAATCTGATCTTTTCTGGATAGGGGGAAAAAAAGAGAAAAATCAATCAAAAAGATTTTCATAGATCAGAAAATCTAAAAATTCTAAATCTCCATAGACACAATTGTAATCTGTAAAAGCTACTAAACCTATGCCCTGGATTCCTGTGTTCTTGATTTACTGTTTAAAGTTAGAAAAATAAAAAATAATTTATTAATTTAATATAATAAATAGAACTTCCAACTATGATATCAAAGATCCAGCTTAAATCTTCCTATTTTCACTGATCTGCAAAACTTTAGAGGAAAAAACAATATTTATATCCTCAACAAACACACAAAAACAGAAATAAACTCTCAAGCACATAAAAACTGTCAATCAAATTAAATCCCAGAAAAAAAAAAAGTTTTTCATTTCTTGCATATAACACATGATCTAAAAAACTTATAGACAACATAAAAATCAAAACACTCGATAATTGTACAGTATAATTCAAACAAAAAATTCAAAATCAAAACTTTCAATTACAAGAAAAAGAAATAAGAAATCAAATTACCAGCCCTTTGTTTCTCCTCACCTTATTTGTGACTCATGAACTGCGTTCATTTACTAAAGTCAAATAAGAAGAGAGGATAAGAAGAAAAAAAGAGAGAGAGGAGAGAGAGGAAGGAGGTGCAAAATACAATTATTTTTGGGCTTACTGCTATTTTAATACAAGAAGAGAAGAGAAGAGAAGCTACCAAGAAATGGGCACGTGGGGTAATCTCCGATTTACTATGTAGCTCCAAAATTTACGTTATTAATCTGAAAAGGACTAAAACTTTTAAAGTATATCATAATCACCCAAATGCTTTTATTTATTCTAAATTTATAGAAAAGGCGAAATAGAAGATGGTGATCTGCTGCATTTTTAAAAGGTTGAACCCCAACTTTGAGGGTCCCTATCGTCCCGTCCTCAGAGCTTTATGAGAGAGGTAAATCGCAAGATATACCCCAACAGACCAAGGAATAAGGCTGCTTGTACACTACGCCTATAAGGAGTCCAATTTCATGTCTCAAGAATCGAACCCCCACACTGCGACTATCAGCAAGGCGTGAGATAACCTCACTCCTGTCCTTTGCACCACTGGGCTCTGTCTCGGGGGGCTTGATCTGCTGCATTTTTCTTCTTGAGTAGAGTTGTCAAGGAAGAAGACAATAATGTAAAAAGTTGTGATATATTATAAGTTTGGATTTCAATATATAGCGTATGTTTGAGCCACGTTATTTTGAAAGAATATATTTTGAAATAGTAGATCGATGGAAAATGTGTGGTTTAAAAATAAATAAGTGTTTTGAATTTAAGAGTAATATTATTTTATTAAAAAATATATTGTTGAAATAATGTCAAATTAGTGAATTACAGTTTAAAAATATATTTTTTGAAAGAATGCGATTCAAATAGGGTAATAATGTATCCTCTTACATATAATTTTTTATAAATTTAAAGTCTCTAAGAATTCAATAAAATTGTTGAAAAATAACTGTTCATCGTCGTATGGCATGACGTAATTTGCAAGAGGCCACCACCATAATTTAATATAATTTAGCGAATCTGATTGGGATGGATGTAATTCAAATATAAATGGGTAAATCAAATAGATTCTTACGAAAATCGAATGAGTTGCCTAAATTAATATCTCAATTCAAAAATCTACTCCACGTTTTAAAGGAAAGTAATAATCCTTGCTCTTTTTTCCCTCACACAGTAAAAAAAAAAACTTTGGAAGTTTCTTATTATGAGTAGAGTCATCGATTTTGATAAAAATTGATAGGATCGACAGAATTCAACTTCAATTGATTTATTCAAAGATCTAATCCATTCCATTTATCTATGTGTACGATGAAATTTCGTGTATTAAAATATAGAAATTGTTACAAATTGTATTTTGATAAATACAAGTGATGTTGACCTTCTTGTAATTGTAAAATTGTAAAATTCTCTGATTAATAATCTGAATATTTGAAGACGAGGGGTCATGTGGCTTGAATCCTGATCTTTAATAATTTGTTGAAAATTTGATTTGTCGATATTTGACTTGGTTGGAACTTGAATATTGAGGCTTGGACTTGAATTTGATTTAATTTGAAGAACACTTTGATCTTCTTGGACTTGGCATGAACCTGTTTGATTCGAAAAAGATTTTAATCTTTTTGGGATTCATCGAGTTAAGGCTTGACAGAATTTCTTCCCTTCTTTCAGCCTTAAGATTTTTCAGCACTTCGTGGCATTTTCTGCTTTCTTTTCTTGCTTGCTTTCTCTGTCTCGTGTGTCCCTATCTTATGGACCATTGGTCCTATATATAGGGGAAATTTTGTGACCAATTTTGATAACCACTCAATTATCTCTAATTGAGAGATATAATTGAGTAATTTATGATTTTATTTATTTATTTATTTTATTTATATGTTTATTTATTTTAAAATGTGGTATGGACCTTCGTGTTTTATGAGCTTTAGAAAACTTTAATAAATTTAATTGGGTTGATTATTTAAATCGACCCAATTCATTTTATTTTTTTTATTTTTTTATGTCTACACTATGTAAAGACAATTGAAACATAATTGAGTATATCTCTGTCATGATTCAATAAATTTGTTGAAAAGTGTTGCTCGTCATTTTAGGAGTTACGTGTCTTGATAAATTTGTAGGATAACAAGAATGTGATAAAATATGACTGAGTGAATCTAGTTGAGCTAGACGTGATTTAAATAAGATCGAGTGAATCTAATCCAGTTACGCGTAATTATGAAAAGATGGTTCTGAAACCCAAAATAGGACGACAAATTTTGAACTGAGTAAGAAGGCCCGAAAGAACTTTGATTGAAAATGTGAATATAGCAACATAATTCTCTGATCACTCTTTACCTCGAGCAGAATCAACCACCCCCAAATTCTGAATGAATGTGAATTGTACTTCCATGCCTAAAACACCATGTATAATGATTGGTGTACGGTACAAAATATTTCCCGAAAACTCACAAAAGTTGTGGGCCCCACTTAAATAAACAATGTCAAAAAATTAACCCTCTCATGTGAGGTGTCGATAGAGGTTCTATACACCAATTGAAAAGAAAAGACAATTGATTAGTGATAGAAAATTTCAAATTCTCGACTGGAGCTTAGAGGGGACAACAAAGGCCTTTGACAATCCATCTCTAGCATGGATAAAGAGAATGATAAGACCTTTGAGTTTGTTCATGCTGCCGAAGGATTAAACGATGCACAAGCGAGTTGTTCATAAAAAAGAATGCTCCACCCTCCCTAATGGTGTGACAAAGAGTGACACAACATGGCCAAGTAATTAAATACAGATCTTTGCCTCTTTAAAATTCTTTAAATCGCATACCTATTCTAGCTCTGATTTGTAAGATGCACACTTTTCAGCTCAATAATATCACCCCGTGCCAGAAAAAATAAATAAATAGGAGAATATTACTCAACTTATTTTGCAAAGTGAAATGTATAAGAAAAACCGAAAGCTAAAAATTTGATTCATTACACTTTCAAATGGTATCCATTTGCGTACGTCAAAGCATTAGCGTAAGTTTCATAGAAACTCCTCACTGAATGGATGGCAGGACGAACTCTTTTGAGTGTCACAATTCTGTCGAGCAAGTCCATTTGTTCCGCTGAAAGGACTAATGGCCCGACCGATAATATGACGTAAGAAAAAACATTCCTGAAGCAAGATGTGCATTAATGACATATGTGAATAGTTATGTAGTTAGAGTTTGAGCTACATACGTACAAACTCAAACTACATAACTCTTCACGAACTTCCTAATAAACATCAGCAATCCATACGAAGTGCTTAACTACTCTTTAAAACTCGCATAACAGTAGAAGAAGACGCAAAATTGAACATGAAAAACTGAAGAACAGGTTCGAAAAAGCACCTCGTCGACCATAAAGATTAGGTCCTCAGCTACGGTCGAATTCGTACTTAAGCCAATTCATTCGTTCCGTAGGAGTTCTCAGCAACCTTAAACATTTTTAGCACAAAGCAGAAAAATGAACTTCCCTCTTCTAATCTCTGTTTTTCACCCATATCGAAAATACTCTTAACACTTCTCATTCCTTAATTCTCTCTTCAATTTACGATTGCCCTTCTACTTTCCTATGGACTTCACTCTGACCCAATCCCTTTTATTTTCTTCACAAATTTGGGTCAGACGCAATTTCTGATTATTTTTCAAACATCCAAAGTCAAATCAACCGTGAGAGCAAAGCAAATGACTATGAGAAGGTGAAAATCAAATTTGCACATTTGATGTATACGACAACATACATAAGTTTATAAATTGTTGGCAATTTGAATTAATAAATAATATCTATATCAATTTTTCAACATTTTTTAAATTGTTCAAATCTTAATTTAAGTGAATAAATAGCATGATCAACTATATATGAGAAATAATCAACTTTTTAATAATTATCAACCGGATATGTTATCTCATCATTAACATTTTCATAAAAATACTTATTTCTATGAATAATGCGTTTTCAAGAAATGTAGGTTCAACTTTTATTTGAATAGCGATTTATTTTGTAATCCAAATAAAGTTTTCTATATCCTTCAAAAAACAAATAATTGTTTCAAATGAAACTAATAGTAGCATCAGTAGG